TCTCACTGTTCATTTGATGAACTGCACATTGATTGTCAATTGTACTAGATTTTGTTTGAAGTCAGTAACAAGTCACATTTTCAACATCCCAACGTATATTGTTTCTTTTCAACACGTTGTTTCTTCCTTTATATCGAGATCTCCCCCTTCTTACCATATTATTAGTTCGTATAAATACGTGGAACGAGCATTTTAGCGACTTTGGCGTCATGTTTCCAAAACATTACTGATACTTTGTGGGTCCTATAACTCCTAAACGCTTGTCTCCTCTGCCCATAAGCCTAAGGCAGATAGCCCTCGAAGCTTTGCCGTAATTAAATAGCCTAACCTAACCTAACCTCTGCCCATAAGATTTCACATATTTCTACTTATGACATAAGCTTTCGGAAAATATATGGGTTTTCAGCAAACCGATATCAAAGGACAGGGTTACTTGTCAGACATTTTAATCCAGCTAGTGAATTTAAGTTAACTTTTAGAAATAGTAGTATTCCAATTTCTGTGCAAAATTAATTTATTTTAGTTTTCCAAATTCTGCATTAAAATATTTTTTACTGATTATGACATTTAAAAAACCTGATCAAGACTAAAATTATGACTAAACTGAAAAATACGTAATTATGACAAATTATTTTTACCGATTTTGATCTTTCCCAATCTGGCTCACATCTCATATCAGATGTACACTCCTTTCTATGCAAAGATTACAGCTCCTACAAATATCTAGAAGATGCATAAAGACGTCTGCTCATATTCGGCAGCAAATGGCAAGAATCCCGCCATTAGAAAACCGGGTGGTAGAAAGGCAGGCAACGGTTTCCAGAGCTACTAGATTGGAACATTCACACTCTGGCGCTGCAGCTATCACCACATCGACAACGAAATATTACACAAGCCTTAACAGCCGCCAGATTTCAGTTTGACAGATAATGTGTACGATAGATCACCGATTTCAAATGAAATATAGCTGTTCACGGATGGCTCAAAAAGAGTCGTAAACCAAGTGTACCTTCTGTGGAGTTTACATTTAAACTCCTTCTTATGCCTAAAAGAAAAAAAAATGGAAGAAAACAATTCTGCAATAACATACTTCTCACACTCACAGCGACAAACAGCCATAGTTTGCAGCGCTTCTTCTTTCCAGCTTAGAAGCGATAATGAAGCAAAATAGCAGAATCCCACTGATATTGCAAATACAGAAACAGTTCCTAGCACTCCCTCCCTCGCAAAGATCATTTATCAGATGAATCGCTTCACATCAAGGAATATGGATGAAGCAGCTGACCTGCTTCCTAAAGACCCTGCAAACAGCATAGATCTATTTGAGCGACCATCAAGTACTGTGAAGTCGTATATTAAGAGAAACACCTTAAACAATTTACTGTAGGAATGGCAGAAGAGATTACAGATGCAGAGATGGGACGGACGACATATCGTTTTTTATCAAAGGGTTAACCTTGGAGATTAAGTTACACGGTTTTAGTCTCAACCAGTTCCTGAAGGATGTAGTTGGACGGAGGCATACTTGAATTTTCACGAAGCAGACAGTCTCCACTTTGAAGCCAAGAAGAAGGCGCAGATCACTCCTATTTTCATTGTCCGAACAACCTGGCACTTTCAAAGCCATAAAATTATATGTTGGCTTTGAAAAGCCACAAATAATGCCTGGATAGTGTAAACAATGAATTAACTGCGACAAAGTGGTATAGACGCGTGCGCACGGGTTCGTAATAGATTGGATGCACACCTAAATATTATCAAATGAAACTTTCAACAGAAATACTCATACAGATGTTCACCATAACGCAGAGTACAATAACTAGTTGCACTTCGAACTACTAAGAACATTAAACACAAGTCAAGCAAAGCCCATCTAAAAGACCAAGCTTTCAATACTCCGAAGTCGTTCTGAACTGACAACTCGCAACAACAACAACTGAGGGCAGATGCTCTCTCTGGCCACCCGGCCGCCAAGTTATTTCTAGTATTTCCAGAAACAAACTTGACTGAAATGTTATCCTTTTCCCAATTTTCCATTCAAATTAGTATGTCAGTCTCCAGACGGAAAGAAAATACTGCGATTCCAGAGCAGAGAAACCAGTTATTAAGAGATAAAAAAAATATTGTCAGTATGCTGTAGAGCCATTTGGGTCGGTCGTTAGGAAGGTCGGATACAACTAATACGAGCAATTCCGGTGTTGTATTGAATCTTTCTAAAGTATAAAAATAGCAAAGCAACAACAAATGTAGTCAAGAATTCCATCAATTTTAAGGGTAAACATATACAAAGTCCCTCTTCATCAGGGGCAAAGAAATCTGCAACGAAGGGAAAGCAAAGGTTGTATTTATCCCTAGAAGAATAAAGAACGAGAAGGTAGCGCCATCTGCCGGCAGAAATGGTAGTGGAGAGAAGTTTAAAAGCGTTAGGAAGGACTGGATTGGACTTAAAGTTATTAACTAAACAAGATAAATCTTTGTAAATGGAAAAAGCTCCAAGAAAACCCATTTCAATAATGCAAGAAAATTTTGGATAATTTTTGCATACGCAAAGTCAAAATCATGATTAAATTTCCAAAATCGCAAATGAGCTATTGAAGACGTAAATTTCGCTTTCTGGACGTAAGTTTCGCGTTCCTTGATGCGAAACTTTAACGCTCTTTTTAGTCTGGCCTATATATTTCAAACCACACTGACACGATATGCTACGAGTATGTATTCCACAAGAATTAAAATCAGAAATGGAATCTTTAAGAATGGAATCATGGATTTTATTGATAGGGGAAAAAATGTCTTGAAATTTGAACTTCTAGAGAATTCGTGAAATTTTGTAACTGACAAAAGGATGGATTTTATAAGGTTCATGGATAGTTACTTGAAGAATAACGCGCCAAAGATGAGTAACTGGTTGGCCAATTCGCTGACATTCTAGAATGCTACAGATGTGTCTCATCAAGTGCTAAATACTGGTAAAATCCTCAGGTATAGCTTTCTAGATATTGATCAAGAGACCGGTCAGTTCATCATCTGGTGAGCGTAAAAATGCATCTCATCATGGGTCAAACATGATTCAGAAATAAGCTGGAACACTGACTAACTATAAAGGCATACTGAAATTACAAAGGCAGCTTGCCATGTGTGGCTGTTAAGCATTGTCGTGTTCAAAGTGATCTGGAGATAGTACATCTCGACTAAGAGAACACTATTCCAACTCCAAACGGCAAATACTACTGCAGATGGCGCCAATCTTTTGTAGCCATAAGTAGACTATACAGTGCCTTTCCGTAAGTAGTTTGGTAAGCCATAACTACGCTTGCAAATGGTAACGTGGGATCACAGACGGTAGATAGCAGCGCGACTGGCGCTAATCATGTGGTATCCTATGAAAACGCCTATTATGACATTTTATCGTTCCCCTGACTGTTATACTGATTATAATGCTGTATTGTGAATGCATAGTAACAGCACTTTTTGATGTAAGTATCTTTTTATTGTATAATAAGCACTGTTATTGTAGGAATCCGTAATACTCCTGTTTTCCTCCATCTGTCCCTATTTGCAATATTCTTTTTCTGGACAGTTGCTGGATTCGGACGATACCCGAATAGTCAGTGAAAGCCGCCCGGGTGGCATATTTCACAAGTGCACATCTGTGTAGCCACCGAGGGAGTGGCTCCTAGGATGGACCAATGGGCATCCAGTAATATTTCTGTCATGTCACATAACTTTTCGCGTGCTTTAAGATTTAGGCAAGATGGTTGAAAATATTTTGCCACGCAATTTTCTGTACAAAAAATTAAAGCATCGTCGATTTCTTCTGAAAATGTTCGTTGCGAAGCTAGATCAAATATAAACAATTGTGAAGATTTTACTACCTGGTTGAAAGAATTTGAAATAAATACAAACGCATGTTGGATACTTCGCAAAAATATCCATGGGAAATATTACTTAATAACTGGTAAATAAGATGAAGAAAGAAATATGTGATAAACATCTGAGCCCAAATGCTATCTTTACATAAAACTATGCATATGAGAAAAATATTTACACCAATCATATATGTAAACAGAAGTCAGCAATTTTTATTGCAATCTATATGAAAAAGATGAAAGGTATTCTATAATAATAGCCAATGCAGAATTTTATCCAAAGTGAACTTTACCAATCTGCATTTGTATACATTTAATGTGTTAAATTTCACATTTAATAACTGCTCTCTCTTAAATGTACTGTCTACACAAGAAATAATCATTAAACAGAATGAATTTATCTTCTTCACAACGAATACATTCAGTTTATTCATATATAACTTTTGATGTTAACAATGGATATAATTAGATCCTACACAATATGTATTCTGAATTTTACACTTCAAAAGCAAAAGAAAGCGAGCATTGAAATAAGAAAACATTAAATTCATTGTAACACTTCCAGTCCTTCTCAGCTCAGTAATAAAAAAAAACGATACACTTGAATCAGGTGTTAGTAAATGCATAATATAGCTTTATTCATTTTCTCGATGTAAAAAGCTATAATATGCCATGAACATCAATCCAAATACCAATGCGTGATAAAAATTGCGAAAGTGAAATGTCAGCAGATAATTAATCTCATAAAACGAAAGCACTGCGAGATTTTCTACTATTAAACCATACATTTATAACTGCAAAACAAATGCAAATTAAAACGTAAACAATATACGCTCGAAGCACGGCGATTTAGCGTCACAAGAGCAATAGAAGCTCATTGGTCCATTTTTGAAACTCCTCCCTAAGTGGCTACGCTGATGTGCACTTGTGAAGTATGCGCCCGGGTGTCCGGACCCTGCTCTCACCTGTCACCTGTATTGTGAATGCGTAATTTGCAGTTGCTTCATTTAAGTTTGTATTAAAAAGTTTGTGTTTAAAGTTTTGAATACTGGAGTTAATAATATTTCTATGTAGCAAGATGCCACTTATGTTTATTTTATTAAAATGAGATTCATGAAGAAAATATGGCCATACCTCCATTTCCATTGTCCAAAAGTTCAATGTCGATAGGTTTCATTATTCCTGGTCCTGAAATTCTAGCTCCAACACGGTATGCTTGTTTCAATAAGCGATTTGATAAGCTGGCGATTTCGGCATAAATAATAAGTCCACTATCACCTGGAATTATCTGAAAAAGAAAAATACAATATATCTATTTAGTTCTGTTTTCTCTTCATGCAAAATTTGTTGAAAAGCATTTACGTGACTTCACTAGTGTTATGAAATTCGAAATGCCTTATGATTTTAAAGATTTTTTGAATTATAGAACACTTTTAATCAAATTTGAATTTACCTATTAAATAATAGCGAATAAGATCATGTATATACACATCGCGTCCACAGAAATCTTTTTACAGTTTTTATTTTCACAACTCTTGGTCATAGATATAGATTTACATTTACAAAAGTGTTTTACATTTGGCAAGTATTCATGATTTTGCATTTTTAAATTTTAAAAATTAGGAGATCTGGGTTTCTATAAGGCTTTCCGGTTCTCAGAGTTGTATTTAGTAAAAATACTCATTCCGAATAATATAAGTTATCAGGCCTCATTCCAGTTCTTTTGGCGTTCCGTGTAAATGAAACATTTTAATAATTGAAAGCAAAATGTTCCTTTATTTAGTTATGACTTACGTCAACACGTTAGCGGCTCCCATCAAAATATCAGACTCCGCAAAATCCAACCCCTAAGCGGCTGCCTATGTCTTCTATTATTGAAGACCTGAGTAACATTACGCAACAGAGTTGGTTAAAATAAATTAAAATGGGTTTTTATGTTTTCCCGACGATATCCATATGAATTCGTATTAATAAAAATCAAATATAATATAAGTAGTACCTTCATGCTTTTATATTACTGTAGGCTTTTTTTTTTATTTGTTCTAACAGGAAATAATATAAGTTTAATAAGTTAATTTTTATCTTGTAAAAACCTTTGCTTTACACTGTCATTTTCTACACACGCTTTCCTGCAAGCGTGAGTTATTAATTTCACTTTTCATCCAAAGCAGGGTAGAAACTATTTAAACTGAGGTCTGAGCGACTTCAGACAAAGCGTGTTATGCTTTTCGGCCAGGTTGCTTCGACACTAGTTAAAGCTTGCTACTTTACGGCTGTGCATGTTAGTTGCCTGTTAATTTGCGGTAATACACACACTGGCCAATGAATTAGAAACCCGGCATCAATATTTTATCCGACCACTTTTTGCACGGATAACTGCTCTGATTCGTTTCGGCATCGAGTCTACATGCTTCTGGAGTGCATTTACATCCAGAGAATACCATGCATTGGCTATGCAGCTTTTTAAATCTTGCAAATTAGATGGGAGAATGCTATTGGATGCATCTTTCCACGATATCCCACACATTTTCTATAAGATCCGGGCTATGCAATGGCCAAGGAAGTCGTTGAAAGTCTGACTGATGTTCAGTGAACCAGTATTGAACATTTCTGGCACAATGTATAGTTGCATTACCGTCCATGGAGTATCCATCGCCATCAGGGTAAAAATGCAACATTGCAGGGTGCACTTGATCTGCCAGTATATCTAGGTATCTCGTGGCTGTTTATTTAGCCACGAGGAGTCCCATATCATGATACTCCCACCAGACCCTTGCAGTGCGAGTAAGGCAAGATGGATTCATCGCTCAATGGGGTTCTCGCCAAATTCGACGTCTTCCATCAGTGCAAAATAAGGTGTAGCGTGATTCATGCGATACGCTACCCGTTTCCAATCCTCAAATGGCCAGTGTCTTCTTTCCCGACACCACTGCAAAGGAATTCTTGCATGTCGGGCAGAAATGAGTGTTTTTCTCACAGGCACCCGACTATGCATTCCTATCCTCTGCAGTTCTTTGCGCACGGTTCGAGCTGAAATCTATTGAACAGAACGTTGGTTGACGATCTGTGTCAGTTGAAGCACAATAGAGTCCCTGTTCTGCCGTACAATTCGTCGGAGACGACGCTGATCACTCTCTTGGAAAACTGTGCTCAAACCGCAGTTACGTCTTCTAGAGAAGTACTGTGGGTCCTGATTCCAACATTTGAAAACCTTTAATATGGCTGCTTTTGAGAACCCAATGAGATTTGCTGTCTTCGAAATCGAAGCCCGTGCTAAACGGGCATCAACAATAAGCCCTTTCTCAAATGGTGAAAGGTTAACCACGTGTAACCCAAGTCATAAAAAATTTGCATGCTTCATCCTCTTGCACGCATTCAAATGAAAATCCCGAAGGTTTCTAATTCACTGGCCAGTGTTGTATTATCCAAAGCCAACTACGCGTTAAACTAGTCTGTGCAGCTTCGGCTAATTATTCCGCTTAGAATTAGCTTTAGTTTTATGTTTTCTACTTTAAATAAATGCTGGTTATATGTATGCGCAAGTGGGGCCATTTGTGAATAACCCTTTTTCTGTTGTTGTTACTCATCAAGTTAAACTTAGCATCACAATTCTAGTTGGGTCAGGATTCAAATAACTTTATTTTTGGTAGAACACTATATTACTATAAAAAAATTGTTAGGCGCATGTTGCCTTATCAGGAAAAAAGATATATTTTAATGTTTTTAAGATAAACACAAAAATCTCTTTATGCTTTAAATGTTGAAAGAACCGTAAATTGAATTTTTCCTATATTTTTCTTTTCTTAAATAAAGATAAATATCAGCTTCAAGTAATGCTAGATTATAAGCAATATAATGTTTATGTACACAATATTTATTTTTATTTATGACGTCCAAAGAAACCTTTAAGTGAATGGGATCAATAACTTCTAATTATAATTCTGGATTTGACAGATCCATGACACAGTTTTTTATGACAATACATTAAAAAGTTTTATTCAAACTAGCTTACCGTGTTGCTGCTCAGCCAACCTCTTAAAGTGTAAGAATTTTCCGACATTGGATTTAGTGAAAGAAGAGCTACCGAAGAGCAGATATGACGATAGACACCACTTCGGAATACATATGTGTAATTCCACATAGCTTCTTCATTCTATTTTTATATAGAAAAAAATATAAAAACCAACAGATCTGCAGCATCTTTATGTAAGCAACAATAGACTTTATTTTTTTTATATGAAACATTTTTATCTTATGAAATTTCTCCACTATTTAAGTACGCACATTAACTTTTTAATTGACAATTTCCTTTCTTACGCGATATATTAGTATCCGTACATTTTTCGTTCATGTTAATAAAGAAGGTCTTAATATAATCAATTCTAATTTTATATTCTAATTAAATCCTTCAATAAATATAACCCACCCTTTTTACAATGATTTTCAAAGATGCGACCCACCAGCGGCCGAGTAGGTAAGATCGATGAAAACTGGTAGTTCGACTCGGGTTCATAATCTTGATGGTAGGTCTAATTGTACGGGAGTTTTAATTTTCTCATTTGCATAATATGAATACGAGCAAGTTTCCCTGAAAGAGTCCTGCACAAAACATCTCTCTGCTTAGGTGGATAGTCCTCGTAAGCTATGCCGTAATTAGATAATTCAATTAAAAGATGCGATTCAGTAATAAAAAGGAAATATAGAAGGAAAAACACCTTAAAATTTATTAACTCCTGTGCTGTCTTACCTTTTCTTCAATTAGCCTCCATTAAATTCATATTAAGTAAATATTATGCAATATCGTACAATCAGAAAAGCGTGATTTACATTGGCATGCAGCTAACACCCTTACGCAATATGGCTGTAAGATTTAAAAATATATACTTTTTTGGTTGAAATTATAAGTTTTTCTAATTTTTTTAAATAAAAATCTGTTTTAGTACTTTTTTTAGCAGGAAAGGTGATATTAATTTTTATCCTAACTTTTCTGTCTATCATTTTTCAAATAAAATGATGTTCCTACCTAAAAAAAATTACATCAATTTTTTGCCATGTATTTTTTTAGAAACAATATAGCGAATAAAAAATCGTACAACACTTGATATTTTATTCGGAATTCTAAGATATGCTGCTTTTCAATATTTTGAGCTTCTGCTGTTCAGTTTTATGAGGCGTAAGTGCGAAGAAAGTGACATTTAATAAATAAAGTTAAAAAAAGGCTAATAATAAAAAGAGGGAAAAAAAGCTGTCTAAATAATCTTATTAAGAAAAGTGAACATTGATATAATGAACTGAGGAAAAACTGAACAAAATTAATGGCAAAACTTAATACTATGTCGGGATTTCTAAACATATGCTGCTGTTAAAAATTTTCTGATTTTGTTGTTGAATTTTATGAAACATGTATCGTACATTCCATCGTAAAACGCCACCTGCAATTTCAAATTACATTAAAATTTTTTTTTTTAGGTATATTCGCCGTAAACGCTGCAACAGCACTTTGTAGATAGAGTCCGCGATCTTCCGACCTTTCTCCGATGGATTTCTGGTTCTGAGGTTATCTGAAATATAAGGTATTATTTTCCAGAATCGAACGATTCCATAAAACATGAAATTACACAGATTCCTTCTGCGATGTTACGTTCGTCACTGTTGTCAACAAACTCTCGCATGCGTTATCGTCTGCTAGGGTGGACACGCACTAAACTTGTGATCCCAATAAAAGCACTTTTTCCTGTCCTTTCTTGTGTTGTCATTAGTATTGCAAATGTTTTAGGAGGGGAATTTACATTATATGTGCATCGTTCCAACGCCATTTATGTTTTTTCAATGCGCTGATAAATTTGCGCAAGAAAAAACTGGGTATTGTTATTCGTAAATTTTGAAATTTGTTCACTGTAACCGTAACTGTAAGAGCTTTATTATTTTAAAGCATTACAGTCTCGAGCACATGCCTTCAACTTACAATATCTGAAATTTCGTTTCGATTGGTCGAGCGGATAAGCCGCTAGAGGTTCATTATTTTGGCAAGTTTTTCATGACTACTTTTTCTTAGTTTTAGTTCATAAATATAAAAACTACTTTTATTCACGTTTTGGCACATATCAATATTTTCTAGTTTAATTTATAAAGCAGATTGGAAAAATAATTGAAATTTAAATAAATGTACATATATTTTTAAAGCTTTAGGAAGGAAGGGGGGGAATGATTGTGTAGGATTGGGTAAAAGGGGTTTTACATGGGGGGGGGGAAGGTTGAAAACCACAGTGCTATGTTTGCTGAGGCAAAATACAGCAAAATTCGGTTTTACTTTATCGGTTGGATTTGAATGAAATGTTCTATGTGTTTTTAAGCAATGTTATTGTAAATTTTTCAACATAAGCGGCTCATAATTGCTTTTTTCTATTTAGTATTTCTTCTCTTCCACTCCGTTCTAATCCATAGTCATTTGTCAAAAATAGCTTCATTCAATCGCATAGGTTTTGGTAAATTACTGAAAAAATATTATAATTCCCCCAAAACCAGTTAGCTGAAGTAAAAGTATTTCACAAAAGGGTTCTATTGAACCAGTGAGCACCGACTAAATTCCATCACTATACTGTGTCTCTATGTAGTCTGATAGACATGATAGAGATAGCCTGAATATTTTTTTTTTTTTTTTTTTTTTTTTTTTTTCAAATTTTACCTTTCGTATGTTATATAGGCAAAAGTTTACTTGCTAACATAAGTTTCATAATGGTTATGAGGTTATGAACAAGCAATGTTCATGATGCAATAGAAAAATACTCAGGCAGGTACAGTTTATGTAAGGCAGTTTAAATAAACTACCGTGACTAATAAACTACCGTAACTGAGAATGAAGTGTCAGATTTATTGAAATCCACTTGGCATTTCCTGAAATCTTGAGATCTATTTTCAAAGACTTCTGATAAAATATCTTATTTGTGTATATATATATATATAATTTATATTTTATATATGTGGGACCTGTAAATTTAACTGAGTAAGATTATGTTAAAGCGCCATCTAGATGGGCGCGCGGTTAGACGAGAGGTGAACGATAGTGAGCACTGACGTGTCCAAAATGTTTTGACGATTATTCTTTTTATTTTTCTTTTCATTCTAATGTAAATAAATAAATCCTAGATTAGTAATAATTTGATGTGTTATAGTGGTGATTACAGTAATACTTATTTACCATGATCATTTTATTCTCTACCATTCTGTACATAATTATGGTGTCAAAAGTAGTTTTGTTCGATTTCCTGTCCATAGTTGGATTGTGCTATGATGTCCTTATCACCATCGCATCTGAATTAGTAAAGTCCACCCATTTTTCAAAGGATTACAAATGAGCACTTTACATTTATCAATTTCACTTTCCTTGGATAATTGTCTAAAGTAAGAAACACGGCTTCTGCAGAAAATTTTGAAAAATTAAAACGAAAACTTAATATTGAAAGAAGCTGTATTACTAAACTAATTTCAAGAATCGATGTTGCTTTAACAGATGAAAATGTTATATATGATATCTTATACGAACATCTAGAAATTTTAACAGAAAAAATGAATAAACTAAAATCCTTGATAGTCAAATTCAACATTTCATTCATGTAAACTTAATTGAGGAAAACGTAAACGCTAGTACTGATTACCAATAAAAATGTCTCAGGTATACTAACAAACTTAAACGCTTATTGAAATAGAGAGAAACTTTTACTGACTCGTCGGCATCTGAAATACTGTTAAGTACACCGAATGATAGCTTAAATTTATCCTCTTCAATTAAACTTCCTAAGGTAATAATGAAACCGTATTCAGGAGACCCAAAATTGTGGAATGAAGTCTGGAATTCGTTCGAAAACACTATAGATCGAAATGATTCACTTTCGAAAATTGAAAAGTTTGGCTATTTAAAAACATACTTAATTTGAGGCGCGTTAAGTGTAGTATCTGATTTTCAATTTATTGATAAAAATTATGACAACTATGTAAAGTTAATTTAAAGATCGTTTTGGTCGAAAAGATATCATCATTGATTCTTTCATGATTAAAATTTTAAACTTGCAAAGTGTTAAAAATTCCTCAAATGTTCCAGCTTTGAGAAAGTTATATGGTAAGCTCGATAACGCAATACGCAATTTAGAGTCATTGCAAGAGGATTCAAAATCCTATGATCCACTTTTGATTTCAATTGTTCTAAATTTATTGTCGGAAGATCTTGTTTTAGATTTTAAGCGAAACACATATTCAAAATGTGATGTTACAATTTATGATCTTCTTTCTTTTTTAAAGTGCGAAATCCAATCTCGTGAATCTACATTTTCAGCTTTACGGGACAGGAAAGGTTTCTCATCATCTCTTAGTCATGCGGAAAAACTGCTGCGTAGATGACTGGACATTATGGCGTAATGGATGATCGGATGAAATTTTAGAACCACAATCAGCTTGATAGTTAAACATTATTTATTTTTGAATGACGACGCGCCCCATAATTTAAGATATCCAATTACATTTTAAATAATGACGAATAGCTATCAGAGGCTACGCAATTATTAGCTATTTATACAAGATAGGTGCACAAAGTACAACTAATCTGTGATTGGTTAAATTTTAGGTTTCAGTTCCATTTACATCACCGGAATTAGACTTTTTTGGAAATGACGCAATGCAAATAGAGGTTATTATTTTTAGTATACAGAAGGGAATTAATTCTTAGAATGACCTTTATGCAATTAACAGAAGAAATGGAAGAATGCCAGTAGAGTACATTCTTTAGTATTAAGATAGGGTTTCTCCCTTTATACTTCTGATAGTCATTTTTGTTAAATTTATGTTTCCGTCTAACCATTATGGAACCTTATTGATTTCTTATTAACTTACATTCTTTAATTCCACAGCTTTCACGCATTTATGTGATGGACTAGAAATGGTACAGTCACCGTTGCGAATTTCAAATTCGCTGTTATTGCAATGCAATACATACAATAACTTTCCAATAGCTTGTTTTGGCGTAACAAAAGAATCATTAATTAATTCGTTTGTCTTGATATCCATGAAGGTCGCTTCGTGTACCTAAAAAGAGAAGAAATCGTGAAATTAATTTTCTAAAAAGAATCAGTTAGAAACATGTCTACTAGAGAAAATTAGAGGCATTGTTTGATACTACAACTAAAAATATATATAAAAATATATATATATATATGAATTGACTTAATTTTAAAATTAAGGATGCTAGAGAATGACAGCGAAACATTAAGGCATATGCCTGTTTATAATTCCAAACTGACGTTAGTCTTACAGTTTAAATGAGCATTTAATAGCAGCTTACAAATATCGTAAAAGTATGGAGGTTTTACTCTCACAGAATAAAATTTGATTTTATTAATACTATTAATCAGATTATATTTATGTATAATTTAAGAAAGTTTTAAGACTATTATTTCTATGTCGTTTCAAATATTTAAATAAGTTTTCTATGCATCTGTGATACATCCGTTGTGAGGAGGGTTCTGGATATGTTTAACATAGATTTTACGTGATACGGACATATTCATATAGCATACGTACAATATCAAACACTTTACTATATAGCACGAACAAAACAAACAGATATAATTTACATAAAGTTATTAACATAATATTTGAGCTGGTTCACCAGGAGGGAGGGGCACCCAGATGCAGCTTAGAATTGCCATACACGGTTAATCGCCCCAACCGGGAAAAAAGTACCAATATTAAAAGTAGTAATCTGAATTTAAAAAAAAAAAAAAAAAAACCGTTTAGATTATTGGCAATAGTGAATGCAACAGAAGGGATATTTTAATTGCAACAGTTCGCCGTTTTACCCGAGGCTGCATTATTTGTATTTCTTGTGTATTCGACCCTTTCAAAATTTTACCAAATAATGGGGCAGAATGACAAACTGGCTGGAACACAGGGACTAAATTATCAAGCATTTCAAAGGGGATAGTTCCTGTCAAAGCGGGACGTCTGGTTAAGCTTATCTTTGGCAGTCAAAACTTCACATTTCATAACTTCTTTTTATGAATTATCTAGAGGGCTAATTTTAACTGATATCGTTCTTTTTAATGTAGTACAAGCCGTATTTCTCCAAAGCTAATCCGGAGTCCTAGATTGGTAAATAATCCTTGTAACTTCCAATAGATTTCTAAAACGTATTATTAATACCAAAATAATTTAGCTACTGATCTTAAATTTCAATAGCGAAAACTTCACTGTTTTACTTCTGTTTCCTTTTTCCAGACGCTGAACAATTTTGTCAAGCATGAATGGGCTTTTGTGCTTTTAATTATTACAAACACTCATTGAAATAATAGGAATGAGCCCATATTAGGATTTTCATTAATTACATAGCACCCTAAATTTATTTTGCTATGTTATGCCTGCCACACAAATTAGCATTGCAAGGCAAAATGTTTTTGAGCTGAGGCAAATTTACTGCTGCCTTTAGAAATTTTGAGTTGAATCGCTATACATCAGTATCAGTAGTGGGCGCAGCCCGACCCACCTAACCAAACAAGTTGATCTCATGGTCATAACAGGCCACGCCCAATTCAACAAAGGAAAATAATTGAAACATAAAATAACTAAATGAAAATAATCATGTGTTAATAATAGTTAAAAACATAAAAATGAAGAAAAAAGGACAAATACAAACATTTAGACAAAAGCAGACGCCCCCCCCCAAAAAAAAAAACCCGCGAACAACAAACACAAACAATGGTTACAAAAAATGAGTAAAATAGACCAAATGTGAGTCAATAAAAAGTAAAAATCATACACTGATTCCCACTGCTCGGCGCTCACCCTTAATAATTTTCATAACAGATTTACATAATTGTGCGAAATCTTTATGGCATAAAAAGGAATTTTCAAAATCAAATCTTTTATTGCTTCTTAACCTATAAAAATAGGGACAGACCTCGAGGAAGTGCTTAACATCACCAAACAAACCACATAGTTTACATTTATCGTCATCCTGTATCTTAAACCTAGCGAAGTATTCCGGAAAACGCCCATGTCCGGTCAGAAACTGGTTAACGTCAAAAATCACTGAAGATGATATTCCTTTTCTTAGTCAATTCTAAGTGCCTCAAAAAAACGACTTCTTCTTTCAGAAGTATTCCACTGTATCTGTCAATGCTTAAAATAATAAGAATAAATAACTCTGGTTGCTAATTTTTTTAACCTTGGACATAGTATAAATAATTGAAGTTAATAATAACATATATGAATACTTGGAATTCACTTTCACTAAATATTCTTATAAAATATTTAGTTATGAAAGTGATGCTTTTAATCACATGCATGCTTTTAAAACCTGTCATCGACTCCTTTCTGACAACCAAATTTTGTTCTTAGTTAAAAAATTCCTTTGTGCTACGGCTGATGCACGTAGTAGCAAAATCAACTATTTTTATAAAATCCCGGACTATCTGAACTAATTACGGACGTTTGATAGCTCTAGCAATAACGCAGCACCATGGAATTAATGATAAAGTTTGAGACAGAGTAATGCAATTAATATGTTACATTATGAATTATGAAGTAGGAGTACTGTAAAAACCAGATTAGTGATTTATTATTTATCATTTTAGCATAAGGTTTTGCTTTATGCAGTGGCTTCTCTACCAAGGGTGCAACGCATGCATTTGCAGAGGCCGCCAAGAATAAGGAGGTGCCAAAACTGACTTAAGTTATACATTTAACTTGCAGTTTATTATCAAGGAGGAGTGCAGTATACTATCTATTGCATTAGACGACAACTTTCTCAGTGTCATTTTTTATTTTTAGTGACATTTTAGCTTAGCATCCACATCCCAGACGAAGTTAATCTGAAGACAAAACTAAAAATTAAAAGTTATTGCAGATTATAAAAGGAAATTAGTGTAAGCTACAATTTAGTATCATGGTTTAATTGATAGTCTTTTCAAAGCTATCAATTAAAGGCTAATTTAAAAAGAATTTGAGGATGATTTTTCCTCTAAGAAGTAATTTTCGATAATATTATTGACACATCTCATCTTTTTTGTGAAATCCTAAAACTAATTCGACTTACCACAATGATATTATCTTCGAGATGGAAGGGACTTTTCATAATGTTTGCCAGAATGACTTTAATCTTATTAGACATCAAGGTAGTTTGCTGTGGCAAATTGTATATATGTGCCCCTGTTGCTCGTATAGCTTCTACGAGATCGGGCAAAAGGACTTCAGTTTCTGTGTCTTCCACAAGGACAAGATGCATTATAACCCTCGGATATTCCTTCATTGATGTCACGAAACTAGACACTTTCAAGCCAGTCAGAGCACTCTTCCAAGCAATCAGCAGTACGATAGGAAGTGTATGGCTGTACTTTTGAGACACCTGGAAAAGGAAAGAAAAAAATGTAATTTTTATGATTATCTTGTGAATTGATAGTACCCTTTTTTCGGCAAGTATATTCAATGTAATTCATTTCATTCACAAATTGTTAATGTCCATACAGATGATCTAAAGCATAATATAGAATTACTTAAAAAGGACTCTTAAACATTTACAACTAAACCTTACTAATTTTCGCTAGAACTCGTCGCCAGAATTTCGGTAGGTGCTGCAGCTGCGTGTGATGTATGGTGTAGTCGAAAACGTCCTTCCATCGCTGTGTATTACCAATTACTTTTGCCATAGAAATACTGTATTTGTAATTAAAATTGTTTTTCTATCTTATGTGTAATTCTTGTATTTACGGCTTTATCAACATGTGATCGCTAGAAAGGTAATTTTGATGAGAAATATGGCCCTGCCGCAGTGATGGCAAATCTTTTGAGCTCAACATATCAAAATTCAGGAGCTTAGCTTGGCCGAGAAGCGCACCACTTGAGAGGTCGCTCGAGGGCGGGCGAAACGATGCAAAAAGAATCTGAGGACGGTAGAGAGGGCCGTAACCTCAGAAAGAAATGAGAAATGTATACATGAGTTATGCAACTAATGGCTTTGGGGCGGAAATTGATGGTATAAGATTGCTATAAAAATCAAATAATGAATAATACGAGTTGAAAAAAACTTGGTGCTACGTCACACACAAAATCATCCATCTGCCAAGAATGCGCTCGAACGCGCCCGAGACAAGCGCGCATGTTGACGATGACCGCCCCAAGACAAATATGAGAAATTGTGCAAGTTTTTTGGTTCTCTAAAGCTTGATCTTGTCACCAAAATGGGTCATTCGCCCTACACATGCCGAATGGTCTGTAAGTACTTTTTAAACTTCATTTTCACTCGCAGTCCGCACCACCATGTGGAAAAACGCGTTTATCCTCGTACAGCCGACTTCTCTTCCCATCTCGTACATTTTATAGCTTTATGTGTTAATACGGTTCGCCGAGACCCCAGCGCATTCTGCCATCGAACGAGTTCGGTGCAAATTGCTATACTACCAAATACCTCTGTACAAGATCGTTGGTAACACACCTGCTGATCCTTCACTTAAAATGATCTTCCAAGTTTTGTAACATTGTATGTAAGTGCACCTGCCCCCTCCCCACGGTCCGACCGTAGCACGTGACTTCACTGTTTTTTGTTTATCCAGCCATACCTCTACAAATCTGACTCATCGCTTTACTTCCCACTCTCATGACCAGACCTTTTGTTTTTGCAACAGACGCGTCTGGTTTTTTATTACCTTTTTACTTTATTAACGGGCTTACCAAACATTTGAAGTTCTTCTAACCACTGCCCATATCAGCGTTTGTTGATGTGACCTTCTTTTGAGAATCCTTTCCTAAAAGGGTCGTACACCCGCTAGAACAGATACTTTATAGGTGTATGTTTCATTTAAGGACCTATTACGAACAAACTTATAAATAAACAATTATCTACATCTACCCCGTAACTTCACACAATCTGTAAGAATAATGTAAAATAATGTTTGCATTAGACCATAATATCATTTTACCAACAAATTTTACATAACTCATAAACTTTTTGCAGTTACTTAGACTAATTATAAAACCCATTAAATATAACTTGAAACATTTCCCTCGCAAGTTATTTTAATAGTTAAGAGATTATTCTAAGAACTTAAATAGGGTTTTTATATTAACCTTCTGCATGCGTCATTGTTACGTACTCGCCGGCCAGATAAATGCAAAATTCATGTCATATGGCAAAGTTTAAATTGAAAATAAAATCACATGACTCATAAATAATTTGGCTTTTGCCCTCCCCTGTGTGCTGTAAACATAGAGCCGCTGATCAGAATAAACTCCTGTCGCCGTAATGTTGGTCTATTGGTAACTTGCATTTGGTCTTCCCATTCTTTTAATTTGCAAAGAGTTTAAACCCGTTAAGCATGCATATTTAATAATACAAAAGTTTTTCCGATCATGAGACCAGAGTATAGCGTTTTGTATTATTTAAACTATTTTTTAAAGAAATATGTGTTGAATTCCATTTTGAGTTGTGTGCATACCACATAGTTAAAAAAAAGAGATATAATCCCTTCATGAGAGAAACCTCTAAGGTAGACTTTATTAAGTTTAAATCGTTTTCTATCCCTTTTCATTATAGATCTGTGTTATATTCAGCAAATTTCTGTATTATCGCATATCCCTAAATGAACAATTTGGTTTACACAGTGTATAAGATTATTCTGACAGATATTAGTATAACTACATTAAAATATAACATCATTACGTTTTTGTAGCATGTGCGGTTTGTGTAACATAACTCCGATAATATTTCGCCTACTATTTGTGTCTGTACGCTATTTTATGCTCTTGCCTAATAATTTTTTTATTCAGCGTATTAACTTTATTTATTTAAGGAGACACACTAATTTTATCTAAGCATAATTCAGAAGTGAATTTTCTTTAATGCCGATAACCGAAGAGAAGGACGCATTATTGACATGATTGCTGTGTTTTATACCAATATTAACCTTATGAGCTTAACCTCGAAACTTGTTATCCCATTACCCCTACATATTTTTCATTTCGATCTCAATTTCTGGTTTTTGTATCACTAAAAATTGTTAAGAATATTCAAAATTAATGGCTATGAGTGCTAACCACTTTTCTAACACCATAAAATATTAAGTAACATGCATTCATTTACATCTAGAAAACTATTGCCTGTTTTTTTTATCCATACAATTTGTAGTGCTTTGTTTTTAGACATTGGCAGGACAATTTTTTTGAAACTGAGAAGTTGTTTGAATAGCCTTACTTTTCACCAACCCACACGCATGGTTTCATACAAGCGTTTTAAACGCCATATTTTCTTCTTACTTTCTTTTATTCTGTGATTTTTTATGCAACGATGCATTCCAATCACGCTGTTTTAACCTGTAACCATTTACAAGGAAATTAAAAGAAAAAAATCAATATTACTTTTTCTTTTTTTGGAAGTTCCTTCAACAAAGAAAGCGCAACTCAAATTTTAAAATTTTATCTCATAAAAACTATAAGCACAATTCATTCTAAAAATATACACTTTAACGATATGAAATAAAAACAAAGATTTCTGTAATGAAAATCATGGTATAAATATAACTTGTGGTTTATTACAAATAAAATTATTTCTTACACTACTACTTAAGTGCTTTGTTCAAACAACCCGTTTAGTCAAGTGTCATCTAACAAGTTTCCTTCCGTTAATACTAGTGTTTACAAGTTCCTCGGTAATAACGTAGGTGTTTAAGGTGTCTTCAAGATCTTTGGAAGTCGCATCGAGTTCTACGGCTGTTTGCGCTTCTGTTACAGTTTCGTTGGAGAATGTGACCAAATTCAATTTTACATCTGCTGGAGCCAAATGCGAGAGAAAGTGAATGAAGGAGTATTTAATTGCTGTCATTTCCTGTAAGGGAAAATATTATATTTATGTGCCACAGTAACAAACAAAAACAAAGAAAAGAAGCTCATTTATGCAGGTTAAATTTATAAGGTATTTCTCCCGCCTTCGTAGTGCAGTGGTCAGCCCACTCGACGCGTATTCGACAGGTCCGCGGTTCGATTCCTGGCGAGGGCATTGCTCATTTTTCATGTCTCCTACTTCGAAATAACCTAATGTCTCTACAGATTATGAAAGAAAGTATTAAAAACAGCTGTGGTAACATATTGAGAACAAAAATATTCTCAGAAACTTTAAAAAAAGATCTGTATTGCAAATATATTAATTTAATAAAATTGCTTTGAAATATGAGAATTTATCAAAACACTCTCTTAGAAACAGAGATCTCGGTCCGTTTCTGTTATCGGGACCGGATTCAGAAGTGTATGTATGTATATATGTGTGCATGTATACGTATATGTGTGTATACATGTGTGCATATATGCATGTTTGTACGTATGTGTACACTCTCACGCACATACATACATACATGCAATACATACATTGAAGCCGTTCGGATAACAGAAAATTACAGAGATCTCTCTAAAGCTTCTTAAGCTACTTTTGGCCAATTTTATGGATATTAGCATCCTTTCTCACAGCAAAGCAAAGTAGTTGCATATATTCAACTGTTTTTTTTTTTTTTTTTTTTTTTTTTTTTCTTAACGGAAATTCATAAATTCTCATATAATGTTAAGAATAAGATAATCTTTTCGTCGTATCTTGTTTAGTGGATTTTAAAGACATATAGCTTCTGCTTCATCAAAGCATATGGCGTGTTGAAAAAACAGGGATTCGCGCAAAAAGTGAAAATATTTACTTTTAAGGTGAGTCAAAAGTAATTTAATGCGTAAGGTACAAAATTAATGTGCATACCCATTAAAATTGATTTTAGTTTTTGTTTCTAAATCTAATATGCAATTGATTAATTTTCTGTAGCCGGGGTTCACAACCAGAGGCGCGAGGAAGCATTTGAAAGAATGCGAGATTTGTTTAAAATCAATTAAATAATTGTTTAAAAATTACGCGTACGTACTACATTGGTGCGTACGGAACACATATTTCCTGCGCATGGGTCGATAACAGATTTCTGCGTATATTGTTAACATCACTCGCATTTTGCTATGTAATTATACACCAGTTAATTTTTATTGCATTTTGTAGTGAAACTGTGTTCATGTCAAGTTCCTTTCTCTTCTGTAGCTAATAAGCAGAAAGTAATATTTCTATTACTTATCTATCGTTATTTTTCATCAAATCAACTTGATCCATATTTTCAGGTTGTTTTCTTAAATTATTCTTTACATTCAGGATGTCAAATTGAAAAAAGCGATATGCTGATTATCTGACGATTAGTTTCACTTGCACCAGAACAATCGATGATGCCCCGCATTAGAAATCAGTTGTTCTGGGAAAAGTCTTATACAAGTTTAAAGTAGTGCCGTTATCAAATAATACTGTTCAAAGCTGAATTAAACGATTTTAGTTTGGACATTTTTAATCACGTTGTCGCTGATATTAGAGCTAGTTTCTGAAAACCTCTCTCCACTTGGACGAAACAATTGATGTTATAAATATTAATCAACTCATTGTATTGATGAGGTATGTCCATGATGCGACCATAATGGAAGATTTTCTGCTCTGTGAAAAAAAGGAAAATAATCAGAGGGAAAGACGTCTTCCAGAGCTTGAAGGACTTGTTTGCGAAATATGGCTTTGATAGCCAAATGATTGTTTCTGTACATATTGATGGCGCGTCTATGTTAGGAAATAAATCAAGATTTTTTGCACTGATGAAACAAGGTTCCACATTTACAAGGTACCTACTGTTTTCTTCATCGACATACTCTGGCATCAAAAACATTACCGTCAAAGATGAAAAAAAGTCCTTCAGTGAAGATCATCAACTGGATTAGGAATCGCGTTCTGAACCGCTATCTCTTAAAGTTGTTTAATGAAGAATTTGGAAGTGAACATTCGAATTTAGGTTTTGAATACGGAAGTTCGCTGGCTTTCACGCGAGAATGCTTTCACGCGTTTTTTGTGAACTTCTAAAGACTTAGCTAAAGGAAGCTTTTAAGGGAATGAGCTTTTATGAAGCTTTTCTAAGGAACGATTAATGATCTGGTTGGATAAACGGGATGACAAGAATTCAACCAAATATTAGCTATCTGAGTGATATTTTCACTCATATGAATGACTTGAATTTATCTAAGAAAGAGAAAATGTAAGCATATTGAAATACTACAAGAAGATAAATGGTTTCAGAGAAAAGTTACAACTTTGGTGTCTACCAGTTAGAAAAGCGAATCCTAATTTTCCATCACTCGAAGGTAGGGTTGATAACAATAAGTGTTATCTCAAATTCATGTGAAGAAACTGTAGAACATTTTTAAATATTACCAAACGTTATCAACTGATCAAATTGATACGTATTTTAAAGGAGGTGAACTGAAAACTTAGGAAACATGTCTTATAAGCCAATAGTCTTTCAAGTTGGATAATACAGCGAGTGATAAAGAACTGATCGAAGATCTGTTAGAAATGCGGAAAAAACGTGTTCTTGAAATGCGTTTGAAAGCAAACTTTGGAATAATGTTGGTGTTTGGCAATGAAATATTCCCGAAATTTCGTGAAATGGCACTAACTATGTTCATTCCACTTGCAACAATATATTTAGTGCTCTTTTGCTAGTCAAAACAAAATTCAGAAATGAAGTTGCTTGAATGCGCAAGCAGATATTCGAATTGCAATTAACAACAAAATGCGATGATTTGAAAAACTTTCATCCAATAAACAGGAACAAAAAGGCATTAATTGTTTTTTGAAAGATTTATGCAAATGTTAATTTTTGTAATATTTTCATATTTCCATGTTTCATTTTTGTTTATTATTAAAATTTGATTATATAACGTTGATTTCTTTTTGAAAAATTGTTATGGGTGCGAAAACATATAAACAAACTTTAGGGGAGCCGGACAGGAATAAGTTTGGAAACCCATGCTCTAGAATTTTGTGAGGTCTCCAGATCTTCGAATGCCATCTACTGAGTTTTTTTTAATCAACACTGAGCTAGTTGAGCTTGTCTGAGCTAGTTAAGCATAATGTGAATTTACTTATCTTATTTAAGTAATCTAATCAAATGTGCAAATAAGTAATAACTTATTAAAATGTTATATGCTGTAAAAACTGTTTGCCAGCGTTAAGCAATCAATGAATTTAACAGGTAAACTTGCTGTTGAATAACCACTTCGTCCTTCAGAGGGTGAAGATAAGTAATGGATACGTGAAAAATCAAAAATGTCTTTTTTCGTTGGTTGTTTCACATTACCACAAATTATTAACTCATGTTCTGTTATCAAAATTTAGATATAATAGTTTGTTTTTAAAAGAATTAATTCATGCGCACAGTAATCTAGTAGTTTAAATTCAAGGGCAATGTTCCATAACCCGTTACATAAACTTTGTCAAATAAAGCATCAATTAAAATAAAATAGCTATAATATAGTATTTACACTATTTACTTTGGTCACAGTGAGTTTGTTTAAAGAATTTAACCCAGTAATGAATTGAAACTCATGAAATAAGAGCTATGCACAAGAGAGAAAACTGCTCTTTTGTCATCGAGCACCTCCTCCTGCTTCAACTAAAAACTGAAACAATGATTAAAATGGCGCAAGTGTGTGGCATTTAAGCTGAATTTAACTAACAAGTTTTAATTTTAACTTGCATCTTTCTTTAATGCCTCATTTTGTCACGCACTCGCTCATTTCAGAGATTTATGCAAATCTGATTTGCAAGTGGTTAAGTATATAATTCGTTACCTCATGGGAGCATTAGATTAATGTTCGGAGGTGAAGAACGCCTATCGCGTTTGTCTGTTATTTAGCATATGCCGCTGCTCAACATAAAGTCAGAATTGCCGGAAGTTAGCTTTTGCTGACGTCATAAGATATTGACATTTCATAAGTTCAGACTTGATCTAACTTTCACTTTGTCTGATCCGAAGATCGTAGCTTTGATAAGAAATTAAATTACTTAGATTTTTAAGCAAGAGGCTTTTAAATAACAGCTTACTTCTCTTACAAGTTTGAGAGACTAGTAATTTATTTATTTATTGATCCAAAGGGGCTTTGTACCTGAAGGACTGTTGTTTTCGTTTTGCGATTTTGCGTTGAATCTCTATAAATGTCCGTTTCACTTTTCAAACTGTTGCCACCAAATGTTAGATTCCTGCATTATATTTGAAGAAATTAAATAATGAAACATCTGCATAAATGTATGTATATTTCTCGCATGTGATAAACACGGTACATAGAGCTCGAATTTGAATGACGTAATCCTAATACGAATGGGCATGTGGAAGACCAATTTGAAATTTGGAATTTGTTTTATATCGGTTTCATATTTTGTAAAACTCTAACGAATTTTTGATTAACAAACTCAAGGATTTCAAATTGAGCATGGCAACACTATACGGGGGGGGCGACCTTTTTATCGCCAGCGCGCGAAACTGTGTATCGCAAATTCTCATTTAAAAATTATTTTGCGACATTGCTATTAAACTGAATTTTATGATTTAAGTGCAAAGAACATGATATTTAATAAATAATGGTAACACAAAAAAACGTTAAAAAAACGTCCCTTTGGACGTAATTTAAAATCTGAAAACTTTCAGATTTAATTTTTTTGTGATATTTTAATTTGTCCCTTACAATAAGAATAAAGTTATTTATTTTACATGCTTTCACTATTTAATAAAGCTATTAGGAATAACTCTCACTATAGCTTTTAAGTAAAACTGAGGGGTGGAAATTAGATTTCAAGTAGTTAGTAATTAAAATTAGTCCTTGCATTTGTTACAAGCTTATTATGCCCGATCTTCATTCTGCCAGATTTCATATAAACAGAAATGAATGCAAGACTGAAAGTATAAGACTTTGGGATAATTTACCAAGCTCATATAATGAATGAATCCTGCAGCTAATGCAGATGATAATTCCCTTTCTCTTTGAATGGATCCAATCATAATTATGGAGAAAGAACTTAGTAAGTGATGGTGAATGTAACGTAAACAGCATGAATTCCTCTGAAATTAAAGAAAGCAACTAGGAACAAAAAAAAAACTTAAGAAAACAATTTCTCTGAAATTTAAGAAAATTAGTGAGCACGAATTCCTGTGATCAGGAACGCATGGTCAGTAATTTTCTTACATTTCAGAGTTAAAGCTTACTTAAAAAATTGTAGATTATAACAATAATAAGTCTACAGAATAAAAATTCGTCGAAATGGATTCGGGAAGAGTCAAAATGTATATTCCTGTTGAAATATGATTCCCGAAATTTGTCACGATCACAATACTTCTTTACTTCGTATAAGAAAGTAAAAACTTCAATGATTTCAAAACTAAATAAATTTGTTAAACCTCAACGAAACTGGGATGAATATCATTGACCGAATCATCGACCGAGCGAGTAGAGAGCGCAACCTGTCGAAAAGAAATTTGTTCATCTACTGTTTGGAAATTATAAGAAGAAAGAAAAGCTCTTTATCGTGCAGCATTATTCTTCTAGTCTATCAATACTCTCTCATTGTATTAAGATTATCAAATTATATGCATAAATTATAATGCACAAATATGTCGGAATTGTATGTGTATTTGTGAGTATCAGTATTCTCTGTATCATACACAGTTGTCTTAAATTTGAATTCTGTTCATAGTAAAGTATCATTTGCTTTTATATTTCGACAAAAATTAAATAACTTGTTAAACCCTTCCTAGCTTAATATTCCACCCAGGAAAAACTTGATTTCTGCCATTTTGCGTAGGAAAGATATGTTAAATAACCATGGTTTTATTATTGAACCTTTTTTGTTTTATCAAGAGGCTACTTACCTTACTCAAGTCTGTTGTTGAACCATTTTGAACGGCAAAGATTACTTGAAGTTTAGGTTCACTTAGGCACTTGAAAGTAGTTACAGTGGGAGGCTTTATGTCTGTTCTTGATGGATTTCTGCAATAACCAATCTTTTATTTAATGACATTACATTGTTGTGGTTTACCGTTTCAATGATATCTCTCTGAATGTTTACTTCAAATAACAGAAAGCAATTAATAATTTATTACAAAATAATTACAGTAGTGATCAGCTTAATCAAAACTTAGATACAAGAAGTTTACTTTGCTATTTAATGCTGTGTTCGTACTTTATTAGTCTGGGATCGGGTTTCGGCCCAGGAATCCAATTCTCGTGGCCTGCGACCACCTAAGAATACAATCAGTTTCTCTTTAGTGCACGAGAAATATCGGCAACTGCCAAAGTCACTTGTAGAGTAAATCCACAATTCAACTAAAGCCAAAATAGCAACAACTTTGAAACTCTATTATTATCTAGTTTCAACGAAAAATGCGCAAAATATTTCCTTTCAAAGAAATCTGCAATTCTCCAAACAACTAAAACCGAAAGCGGCGAATAGGTGATGTATGCGTAATATTTCGGACTTGGGAGAGTGTAGAAAATGTTTTAAGACCAATCAGGAATGTGATCGGTTATCGGGAGATAACTATGTCAAATTATGTACATAGGAAAAAGATGACGAAATACATTTGTCAGAAAAAATCGTTAAACTGCAGGAATGACCATATTTATATTAACACGGGCTGGGATCTGGTTTCTGGAAATATCTGTTGCCAGGAAGAAACGAAGGCCCGTGAGGCTCGTATCTTGCATTTCCAGTTAAGCTTTTTTTTTTTTCATTTTGAACGTTGCCACTTTCAGAACAAAATCAACAATTTCATAAAAAAAAACAAGCACTGGTATAAAAAGTACGTGTAGCCACAAATGCAAAATAAATAAATAAATAATACAAAATGCAAGAAAAAAAGGCTTTACATATTCATAAATATATACAACATTGTTCCTTCCTTAAGGACACCACGTTTCGGACAGTGCAATTTCCAAAACCTGGAAAAACTAAACCTCATTACCATAATGAGTCCAAGTATATCGTAGTTTCATTCTTTAGATTTAGTAGAAAGTGAACTTTGAATATCCATCATTACATCATTCAGCTTTTTTTATCACACGAAAGGGCTCATCATAAGATTCCTATAGCGTGAATGAGACCTTCGATGTCTCTTGAGGTTTCACAACCAGAGTCGATCTCTTTCCTTGAATTTCCGCTTCGTTGCATCGTATCTTCAGTTTATCCTTTTGCTCGCTGTGACAGTCTTTCTCCTAGCGAACCGACGAACGTCTTCTAAACGCGCTTGCAAATCCTCCAGGTGCTGCTCAAGTGAAGAAGGTTTTCCGGTGGCCGGTCCGAACAGCAGAACAATCGGCAAACGAAGATCGTAGCCAAAAATCATTTCCATTGGAGAACATCCAGTGCTCTTGTAAACGGCACTCCTATACTCTAGCAGGGTAATTTTCGGCTCTAACCCTCTTGGCTGCGGGATACGAAGAGAGAGAGAGATGGCCAAATATTGTGGACCATCTTTCTTAAATTAATTAAATTAAAACTCTTCACAATGCCACCCAGCTATGAATATAAAAGAGAGCTTTTGGTTTTTTTCGTGCCGAAAATTTTAAATAGTCTTTCAAATATGGCACATGTGAAGTTTGTTCCCTGGTAAGAGTGAATAAAGAGAGGCATTCCGAATCGTGAAATTCAGTACTCTACTATGCTATTTGCAAAAGTTGAAGCTTCTTTATCAGGAATGGCATAAACTTCTGGGCATTTACTAAAGTAGTTTATGACAGCTAGAATGTAATTATTACTCTTAGCTGTATGACTGAAAGGTCCGATAATGTCCAAAGCAATGTGCTCTAATGGTACTCCCGCACTGTAGCGCAGAATTCTTCCTCGTGTATATGTTTACCGGCCTTTTCGAGATCCCAAACAGGTATCATAATTTACACCACTTTCTATACCTTCTTCAGCCTTGTCCTAGAGGCAAAGGTCGAAAACATTACGAAGTGTTTTTATTACACCAAAATGACATCCAGTAGAGCTATTACGAAAGTCTAACAGAACACTAGGAACTTAAGATCTCGGTTGACAACTAAAAGTCTTTCTGTCATCAGATTCCCATTTGGGATCTATCTCACAGATAAAGAAAATCCCATTAAAGCCTTTCGTCGTCAGCCTAAAGATTGCCATTTCTTTCTATCTGGATTTTTCCTTTCTATTTTCCCATAATGGTATTAATGGTCGCAAATCTGGATCTTCTGTTTGGGCCTTTCTAACTTCTTCCCTGTTCCATGGATTAGTCTCTAATGTTATAGAGTTGGCGTTATTTTTTCTGACCACAGCTATTCTGCACAAGATGAATTTGAATTTGTGCTTTTCTGCACAAGATCTTCTTGGAAGTCCATGAGAATTTTCATGCGAAGTTGCTTTGCGATAACGAATTTAAATGTTATATTCCTGTAGCTGTTGTATCCATCTGACCACTTGACATTTCGCATTTTTTAAACTAAACATCCAACGTTATGGGGCATGGTCGATGTACAACCGGAATTTCCGACTGTATAGATAGTGATGAAAATGTTCTACTGCGTTCATGTTGGCTAGCAGTTTTTTTTTTTTTTTTTTTTTTTTTTTTTTTAAACACAACAATTTTCTTCCGGCTATGAGAGGCTTTTACTAAAATAGACAATAATATGTCCTTGGCCATTATTAGCCAGTAGCTGCTCTTCAAATCTAGGATGGAAACTGTTTTTCCTGGCCCCTGGATGCTGCACCCGGAGACAGTTGTGCCCCCCATGCTCTCCCTAGCTACGACACTGATTTGATGTAGCACGAGCTTCTACAAATTTCGGGAAAGATTTTGAACGTTGCTATTCCCAGAACAACAAAATCTACAATTATATATAAAAAAAATACTAATATGAAAGAATACATGTGGCCACAAATAAAACAAATAAATAACTAACTAAATAGTACATTAACATAATAAAAACGATTTAATTATTTATAGATATGTGCAAGAATATTAATTTTAGGACATGTTTTAAGGACATCTTTTAGGACACATTCACATGACATATTTTTGCTTCAACTTACAAGCAAAATTCAAGCTAAAATGAGTTTCAGTAATGATTAAATTATCTTAAATGCTTACTTCATTTGCCTAAAATCCTCAGAACTAGTGATGACTGACCAAACAGTTCTGCCGTGGCACAAATTATTATGGAGAGTTGGCATCACAGGATTATGAGGAAAGTGTGTAGAACCATCGCAGTAGTCTAAAACCTGCAAAGAAATTTCATTTGAAATACAAGCTTAAGATTTTTATAATGTTATTTGTTAGAAAAACTAGTGAATTAAGGTTAAGTAGAAAATAAAACATTAAAAAATTATTTCCCTAACTCATTTAATTATGAATTCCTGGCGCGCAAATCTAGAGGTTTAAAATTCGAACCCTGATTTACATTGAGGAATTTTATGGCAGAAATTTACGATATTACCTTCTATTCCTCTTGCGGCTGAAATCTTATTCCACATGTTCAGAAACATGCTGCTTGAAATTTATCAGAGCCCGACTTGAAATTTATCCGACCATCCAGGGCCGGATTTACGTATAAGCTACACAAGCCATAGCTTAGAGTCCCCACTTTCTTGAGAGTCCCCCAAAATTAAAATATAGTGTAAATAGCATTAAAATATATTATAACAGATTACCCATATCTCAAATAGCTTACGGCCTTATCAAATCTAAATCTAGCTCTGCTCTTATCCGAAACCATCCAAGAGCCATCGAGTTTGAATGGCTATGTGGGGGCGTGCGTTTTTATGACTGAAAAAAATCTTGGAACTTGCTTCGATGCTTGTTTTGTATCGCCCTTCTTAATTTCTTTAATGTTTCACAATATCTCTCACTATTTATTGTTTTACCCCGTTAGAGGTAATCCACCAGAAGTACACCTTCCCTGTGCCATCTTTCTTGATGACAATGTTTGCAAACATTTCCTTGGTTTTCTGGGAGAACATTTGTGACCCCACTCCATAGACTGTTGTTTTGTCTCATAAGTCACGAACTTTACCCAAGTCTTGTCTCCTGTTACGACACGATCAAGAAGTGATTCACCATGTTCGTGGTACGCCTCGAGAAATGTCAAAGCTGTTGCTATGCGCCGCTTTTTGTGGTCATCTGACAAGAGTGTGGGTACCCATCTGGCACAAAACTTGTAATAGCCTAGATCTTGCGTCACAACACCAAACAACAAAGTTCGTGAAATTTGAGGGAACTGTAGTGAGCTCTCCGAAATTGTGAAGCAGCATTAACAATGCTCGGCCAGCCACTTCGCGCTTCCTCGTGAACAATTTTTGCGACCAAAAATCTAATCACTGATCGCACTTCACAACTGGCGGGATTTTCTATTGCCGCACACATTTTGAACATTCACAGTGAACAAAGCAGAGGCAACACTCGCCAACGATTACAGCCGAATACTTAAGGATTCAGGAAACACTCCGACACCAAGACGAGGATGCTAGCGCCATCTCTCGCCGCACAGTGGCGAAACGTAAGTTACTTTCTGAATAGGCCTCATATGTCTAACACTTAATGATAAATATTTGTTTAGAACTTAAAATGAGTTGAAAATACAACGTAAAAAATTCCGTGACTGTACTAACAAATAAACGAAGAAAAATTAGAGCTCCACTCAATGCTTTGGTTTAATATGTTAAATGTAATTTTGCATCTCAATAGCAATTTTTGCATGGCATGACGGTCTTAGTCTTGTTTATATTTTTCGAAACGATTGACAGAAACACAATATTTCTTAGTCCATTAATGTTACATCTCCCTAACACAACCATTAACGATTCCGAAGGCCTTAGAAAGCATGGCGGTTGCTTTATACCGATGTTTATTTGCATGCTAAGAAATATGACTCACTTTTAGTAGTATTAAAATTTAGAAAGTTGTTAATCATGATAAGTCTGTGCCATAAAATACATTTTTATTTTTAGTTAAAATGTGATAAATGTATAATTTATGTTAATTTAAAATGTTGCGCATGTTTGAAAGAAGTTTGGATAAAAAAACAGGAAATTCTCAGATTGACAAACGGTTTGTGATTATTTGAACAGCAGCATGTGAATGACTTAAATGTTTTCATAAATATGAAAATTAAATCTAAAAATATTACAGTAATAAATAACTGTGAACTTTATACCAATAATGAATGTGCTTTTTGTGAATTATTTCAGTTAGCATCCCTCCCAGAATGCACGTGCATACGTGCATGTGCGGCAGTGTTACATATTTAGAAGACAATTAGTGTACTACAGACCTCTCTTCAGTGTTCTTCAATGAAAGGGTCGGGAGTTAAAAAAATATTGTTAGATAAAAAAGATTAGCGATTCCAAACCTATGTTTCCCGACGTTCTAAGGACTCCGCGTCCTAGGGGTTTCGAGACAACTTTAGGAAAATAAAATACATAAAAATTGAGTGAAATAAATAAGAGACAAAAACCAGAATCGAAATAAGAAAACTAGAAACTGCATTCTGAACGGAAGTCTACTAAGCTGAATTTAGAGCCTTCTCTAGCAGACAACTATTGATGTTGCTGTTTTGCTGCAATTAATTTAGCATTGTGCAATAAATCCAAAACTGTATAGCTCATTCTGAGGTTAAATTCGCCGGAGGAGATTTGCTCTCCTACTTCTTAAAGTTTGAACATTATTTTCAAACAGATGAATAGAAAATGGTCCATGACTTTAAATGGATAGTGAATGCGTTATGCTGGAAAAAAAGCTTAAAGTTACACCCGCCTTAATTTCAGCGGAATATGAGGTCTTCACAGATTTGACACACACATTGACCTAAAATTCATGTTTTAAAGCCTAATCATGTTTCTGCCAGATATTCACTCTACCAGAATTTGGCTGCATTTATAAGATGAAAAATATAGAGTCCTTTTAAATTCAGGTCCAGACAATTCGTATATATTATCAACAAGGTAACCCGAAAATAATGCAAAAATGCACTTGCCGGTGGTTCATTAATACTTATATGCTATTTTATGTTATGTGCACAGTAGAATCTTGATTATCCGATCTAAATGGGCCATGGTCTAATCGGATGATCCAGTAGGTCGGATGACGTGGAAAGTTACAAATACGACATTTAAAGTGACAAAATACATTCATTATTTCAAAAAATACGAACTTGAACAAACTAGAAGCTTGTATCATTCGTATCACAAAGAACGATCTACAAAGAACTATCAAAGCTGATGAAAAAAGTTGGTAATTAGCATTTGTTTGCCAGCTGTTTGACGTTTTCTTCTAACCAGATCTCGCAATCTCTGCAGAAGTAAAACCTCCATTGATAAAGTTTCTTCCAACTACTTCATGTATTTCAACGCTATCGACTTCGTGTCCTTCGATGGGAGAAATTCTGTCCTCGCTTTCTGCCGTCACTTCGTTTTCAATAATTGCATTTTTCTCATTCAGCAGCATGTTAGTGATTTTTTTTCATCTGCTATTTCATATTGCTGATCTTAAAAAAAAAAAAAAAAATCTTTGAAGATCCCATTGTTGCTTCATTACATCCAGGCACTCTTTTTAGCGTAGACAACGTGTGTTCCTAATTAGCTTTCTCAAGATCAACATTTTCCGGAAATTCTTCTTCCTACCCCTCACTCTCACTGAACAAAACTTTCCACGATTTTTAAATTGCTGTTGAGTTGAGACTTTCCGACGACTGAGACTATGTAATAGGCAATAGTTCAAACTTCTCAAACTCTCCATCGTATCTTCTATTCAATTAATAGAATTAATTAAAGTTAACAGAAGATTCTTGCGGTAATTCCTTTCTAAAGTTCTAAAACTTTCTTAGTAGGCTGATAAATTAGGCTGATAGATTGTCATGACATTTGGAAGTAAAAACATGGTTTTATTTCTCCGTCTTAAAGTTCTTCATTCGAGTAAGAAGAAGCATTATCCAACAGTAATAGCGCTTTTCTTGGCAAATTATTCTTTTTCAAAAGCTTGTTAGTCTGTGGCACAAAACCACTAAAAGACCGTTTTTTATAAACGTATCTAAACTCATCCAATCACTTTTCTGGTTAAAATATTTGACAGAAAGAGAATTTTTGGACATATTCTTGAAAGCTTTTGAATTTTTTTATTTTCATTTCATAGCAAATTCCATTTTAAGGTTTGCTGAGGCATTACTGTAGGCAATAAGATTCCTTACTCTTCTTTACTTCGCTTGAAGCTAGGTCTTGCAAATTCAGACTTATCTGCAAGTATTTTAGCAGGAATCATTTCGCAATTTAGTTTCGTCTCATCGCAAATAAATACTTGGCCACCAATCAAGCTTTTCTTGTTCAGTAACGTATGAAACATATCTCTGAAGCTTTCCATGGACTCATCTTTTGCTCAAAGCTTTTCTCCTCATACCATATCTTTCCTCCGACCTCTTGAGTCATGCAAAACTAGCTGTAAAATTAGGGCAAACTTCATTAAATTGGTTACGAATTTTAAGCTTTTTCGCATAAGATTGATCCAGATATTGAGACACATTTATCTGTGTGTTTAATAAATCAAAGAAACAAAGCTTCTAGTGTTTTCGTGCTAATATTTTTTATTGTTTTTCTTTGTACTATAGCGATAGTTGTCACTCGCCACTTTTTTATATCACACTACTTTTCTATACCTTTTTGGTTCCGTTTCCAGTCTCCTACGGTTTTCCTACGTTATGGTGTAGTGAGAATACGGCAAAGCACATTAGGACTATCTGCCTAAGGCTAGGAATGCTTTTGTTGAGGACTTTCTAAGGGAAACTGGCTCGAATACACTTTATACATGGGGAAAACCATGAAAACGCCCATGCAGCCAGCCCGTTCGCGGGATTCGAACCTCGGACCGTTCCTACGTTATAATAGCGTCATTTTAATAACGTTTCACCTTTATCCAATATCTTCAAAACTTTTAGCCTCTTTTCCCATAGAAGCAGCCTTTTTTTTTTTTTTTTTTTTTTTTTTTTTCCATCTTTGAAGCTATTACAACGCACCGCAGAACACAGAATATGTAACTACAACGTAAAAATATTGTACTGTAAGCCGAACATTGTCAGAAGACTGATCAGGTGCAGACTGCATGTAGAGTCATTACGTTTTTTTCCCCCCGAAAGCAGGAGAGATGATTCAATGAGCAACGCCTTCGTTGGGAATCGAACCACGGACCTCTGGAATACGCGCACAGCGGGCAGACATTACCCCATGAAGGCACGTTAAGAATGCGGGAGAAATACCTTATATACTCCCCCTGGCGATTGAGTTTAGGAGACCCAGTCGCCAAATCCTGGATGTAGAGAATCATCATCCACCAGTCTTTTAGTTCGGTCGTCACTGTAGAGTCATTAAGGGACTTTTCTAAGCAGGGTAGATGACTTAATGAGCAACGCCTTCGCCGGGAATCGAACCACGGACCTCTGGAATACGTGCCGAACGTGCAGACCACTACACTACGAAAGCACGCTAAGAAGGCGGGAGAAATACCTTACATACTGACTGCAGTGTTGTGACTCATGCTGATAGAATCTGGTTCAACAATGAAGTTCGCACGCTGCTTACTCGTGTTGAAACCGCGTCGATCAAACGGAAGGCCGAATTAGCGTAGGTCGGATGACTTGGACTATACTATAATTTAAGCTTATTGTTATAGTACGGTGTGTTCCAGTTATTGTTATAGTACGGTGTGTTCCAGCAAATTAGAATGGCGTTGTCTTCTGTAATTAATAATAAAATTTGAATAACAGGTAATAAAACTAAAGGAACTGAGAACATTCTATGGATATTTTTATTGCTGCTCTCACCAATAATGTAAAATCTGTTGTCGCGCACATGGTTTATTTTATTTAGCTTTGAATGAACTTTTGAGTACGGCCCGATTTTTACTGTAGCATGTGCACTGATAATGGTTTAGAATAAACTGAAACAACATGATAAATTTTAAAGTTTTAAACCTATTATTTAATGGCATGAATTTTGCACCAACTGTTTAAATAGTTGTTTACACCACTTACTCTCTCTTTTTGCTTAACATTACTCCTAAATATCTTCAGGAAATATCTTCAGGCAGAGTCCTGAAGGACTCCGCCAAAGATATTGTTTCTAAAAAGGGCTCTGCGAGTCAAAAGGCTTGGGAACTATGGTACAGCTGCGTATTGTAGAAGTGGGAGCCTTCAAGCAAATAGACGGTGTCACAGGATTTTTATTGCGTTGCAAGAAGGAAACTCATAGAGGACGAAACTGTTGGAGGATCCAATTTGCTTCCAAGACGACAACTCAACAGCGAACATTACCCGGCTGTACATCAACAGACATTTCCACGTCTGGCTTCTCGCTTTAGCGATTTGACTCGATTCCTCATATTTGAAGATTATTTGCTCTGGTATTGTTTGGAGAACAGAAATTTTTGGACGTCATTTGTGAACGACTCATGAATATAAGATTGCGATCAGCCGTGAAATACGTGCTATTCTACAGGATATGTTGAGACGTGTTAGGGAAGCATTTCCTTAACACTAAGAACAACGTATCGAAGAGAAAGAAGATATTTACTAGAAAGCAGTAATTTAAAGGTTCACTAATGTCTGTATTGCCTAAATTTATATACTATATAAATGTCTATCTTTGTATTATTGCTTCCTGACCACGTAAAATCACTCAGGCACTCACCGTTTTTCTACTGTAGACAAAATATGCGCCATTCTGTATAATTCTGAAGAAGCGAAATAAAGGTTAAATTTTACTAGTTATCGGAGTTAAGGTTGTGTTGCATCTATTACATCTATTAGTTCACTATCTGTTTCATTATTTCAATAAATCTACAACTCAAGACAGAAAATTATTATCATTATTTTACCTTAGATACATTCATGAACATCAAGGAAGATTTTAAATCTGTTTCGTTGAAGAAATTCTCAGGAAAAGAACAGACTGGAAGTCCATCTTCAAAATTTATGTTTCTGTTAAATAAAGAAAAGATAAATAAATTATTTAAACCCACAGGGAAAATTCTGCAAAATTCAATTTTTACTATTGATATTAGCAAAGTTTATGTTGTCTTCAAATATTTGCAGCGATATGAGTATGTTTCCTAGTCCAAAAACAGTAAATTTAAAACACTTGACTGAAATATAAAGAGAATATGTCGTATTTCAGATCCAGCCCTAATGTAAATGATCCAGCCCTAGTGTAACTGATCCAGCCCTAGAATAAATAATATCCATTTAGAGACTAAGGTCTTTAAGTGGATATCATTTATTTTTTTTTCTCAAAACCCACCAGCAGCGAGCGTTAAAGTCGCGTAAAGCAGCTAGTTTAATCCGAGCTCAAATTACGTAAATGGGCTGTGTGCATGGAAACTTTCCTGACTTTCCCTAGGTGAAATATAAGTACGAGTCAGTCTGTCCTAGACAGCCTTCTATGAATGCATCTATCCTTTTTAGATCCAATTGTGGGCTGTGCCGTACCTTGTACACAGTTAGGGACACCAAATGAGTCTTTTCCTTTTATTTACAATACACTAAGTAAATAATATCCACTTTGTGCTAAAAAGGAAAAAAAAACTATATTAACAGGAATAGAACTGCGGATTGTATAATTCGCTCTACTGAACATCCCGCCTTTCCCGCCGAAAGTCAGTCTGCAACTAACGTTTTCCTAAACCTAGAGGGTGCTGCTTGCTTTTAAAATTAACGTTTTAGGAGGGCTAGGTACTACACCTCTCTTCGGCAGATAGACGTCAAGTCAAAATTCTGATTCTGTTCTTTCCAACTAAGTAGCCATTTATGTACATTGGCTTGATGGTTTTTAGGCATGATAATTTGCACTCATTTGTAGGATGTAGTCTTGCAGCGCTCTCCTGTCAACATATTTTAAATGTGGGTATTGCAGGCATTTACCAGATACTCGGCTAGAACAGGTTCGGAAAGATCAAGACTTTTTAAGAGAGGAGGACTTTCTAAAAGAAATGAATTCATATTCACGCCACACAATCGTAAAACTATGGAAATTCCCATGCTAGGCAGCTCGTTCATCCGGATTATTAAAATATTAAAAAATCTAAATATGAAAAGATTTTAAACGTTAGCTAATATTTTGAATAATTCATAAAGAAAAATATAATTTGATGTTTAAATCGATGCTTCTTCAATTTAATTGAATTTACGTTTTGACTTATACACTACCCGACATTGAAAATGCAATGACGAGAAGAATGAAAATGCAATTACATGAATGACGGGGCTTGGCATCAAAGTCCAGGCATTTCTGTAGCAGAGTGTTAAGGCGGTATCCAAAGAAGACACGGGATTTCATTTTTTACTATTCCATATCTTTATTTCAATTTCAGAAGCAGATCAATATTCATTACTAAATAAGATTACTTTAAATTTACTGCGTCATAGAGGAAAGGAAGATGGGAGCAGCAGCCTAGGTTTTAACAGCACAGGGAGAGAGAAGCTTCTGTCCGCAAAATGACGCTCATTCGTTATTTATAGTAGCGGTTACGTAATAAGTTCGAATGTTCTCGAAGGTACTGGTCTATGGGGGAGATCCTAAATTGCGGAAAGTTAATTAGAGGTTGCCTGTTCGCGTAGAGCAAAGCCATTGTATTTTCTCTATTTTATATCTCTCCCCCCCCCCTCAAAACAAGATTCCGAGCGAGCAAAGCATTAGTACATTAGTGAAGAAAGAAGTATGAGGAAAGACAAATAATATACAGGACATAGCTTACAGGCTTTAACTATGCCCTATCATAACTCAGGACCTTTCTCATATAATTATAAAATTTTGAATTATATAATTTTACAATAGAACCTATTACAGTCATAAAATCCTGAATTTTACTCAAAATGTCCATGGAAGTCATACAGTGTCTCACAAAAGTGATGGGACACTTGTGCTTTACAAAAGGAAACTGTAATAAAATAAATTAAAAAACATGTAAAAATTTTTGTGGTTGTGTTCATACTTATATTAGTAACAATTATTACATAAAACATACATTTTCTCAAAATATTAAAATATTAATTAATAAAAATACAATTGTTTAGAACGGAGCAAAAAATGGCTCACATAAGTGATGGGACACACCATTAGATACTACTACGTACTACAATAAAAATATGTTTGGGGGTTTTTTATTTTTACTTAAAAGCAATTGGCAATAATTTATAAAATCGTCTGCAGTATTTCTCTCCAGTTTGTTTTGGAATTTTTGTGTTTTTTAGCTCTGTGCAGCCATGAATGCTAATTGAAAAGAAACTTGGCCTGAAATTCGAAAATTAGTTATTAATCTGCATATTGAACGTGGAAAATCTATTAGAGAAACTGCTGAAACAGTTAACTTGAGAGTCATTCAACAGCTTCCAATATCATTAAACGATATAAAAACACGAATTATATGATTCAGGATAAAAAAAAAAAAGACCTGGTCGACCATGAAAGCGATCCAATCGAATAAAGCGAATATATCGTTCGAAATATTTAAAAAAAATCCAAGAATGAGTGGGTCCTAAAGTTGCTGCTGATTTACAAGCATTATATGGAGTAATTGTTAATCCTGAGACTATTAGAAGAGTTAATTCGATCTGCTGGATATCACGGTATAGTAGAGCAGCCAGGAAAAAATTCTTCGTAAGTGAAAAGAATAGAAAACTCAGACTGGCTTTCGCAAAATCCAACTAAATAAGAGAATTCTGATTACTGGAATGAAAGTTTTATTTGCTGATGAGAGTAAATTTAATATATTTGGTTCTGACGGTAGAATCTTGGTGTGGAGAAACCCAGGGAACAGTTTCGCAAACAGAACTTGGTGCCAACAGTAAAACATGGTGGAGGAGGGGAGTTATGGTATGGGGGGTGTATGTGTCCACTGGAGTTAGTAATCTTGTTTTTATTGACAGTATAATGGATCAGTACAAGTATATTGACATTTTAAATCAAAATTTGAAATCTTCAGCACGGAAATTGAACCTTCATAACGATTTTAAATTCTACCAGGACAATGACCCCAAGCACACTGCTTTGAACGTTAGACTCTGGCTGCTGTATAACTGTCCTGAAATAATAAAAACACCACCACAATCTCCAGACTTAAATCCCATAGAGTGGCAAGAATTGGAATCAAGATTTCGCAAACACACAATTTCTTCAAAACAACAATTAAAATCGGTGCTTCAAGAAAAATGGGGTAAAATCACAAAAAAATTAGTCGAATTCATCCGAAGAAGATAAAATCATGTTTTAAAAGTAAAAGGAAATCAACAAAATATTAAAACCTTTTAAAAAGCAAAATTTTTGGATAAATATTTGATGGAAAGTAAGTGTCCCCATTACTTATGTGAGCCATTTTTGCTGTCCGTTCTAAACAATTGTATTTTCATTAAATTAATATTTTAATATTTTGAGAAAATGTATGCTATGTAATAATTGTTACTAAATTTTTAAATATGAACAAACCAAAACCAAAAATTTTTACATGTTTTTTAAATTTATTTTACTACAGTTTCCTTTTGTAAAGCATAAGTGTCCCATCACTTTTGTGAGACACTGTAAGTCCTTTTATAAAAATAGTTGAAATCGAATGAAATACTTTTTATAGTCTCTTGATGCCAGTAGGTCAGCTAATTTTTATCATGTGGAAGTTCACAAATATTATGCATTTTCCCCAATAAATATGGTTCCATAATAAATTTTGAATAGAAGATATTTAAAATTTGCTTTTCATATAAAACTTAGAAGATATACAATTTATAAATAATGTATTATGTGCATTCATTCTTCTCATCGTAGGTAATTATACAATACATTGACATATTTTAAAGTAATTTGTACTATGATTCTAAACTAATGAGTGGACTGTACATCAAAACAACTAACTAATTTAGTTACAGTAATTAACTAAATTCAATTCTAATACATGCTCTGGAATGTTGCTTAGCCGAATCCAGATGGCCAAGTGAGAGTTTCTCTCCATATCCAATAAGTGGCGCTGTATACTAACTTAACATGCCGCCGCCCGTTGAAATTACAAATTTCAACATGTAAATTACAAACAAACATACAATTTAACAATTCAAGAAAAACTAATTCTCCAATACAATATGAAAACTAATAGATAATCTTTCATCATGAATATAATATAAAATATTATAAGCATTTAAGAACATTAACATTCACTAGGCTACAATCGAACTTATTCTTTAAAACAGTTCCATTTTTATGTAAAGCACAATTTTCAATAAGAACATAATAATGTAAACTAAGCATTATTATCCTGGATAGGTAATAAACAAATTTTACTAATACATCGAATATACACACCATTTGATGTTTTCACTTTAACAACTCTGGCCTTATTATCTTTACCAGGTAAAACTTCTAGAATTATAGCTACAGACCATTTAAAGGGGGGAAGATTATCTTCCTTTCTAACGCTGCTTTTAAATTTTCTTTATTAATAAACCATTTGGTGCGTTGTTGGAGATGATTTAAATAATCAGTTTGCCAACGTTTCCGAATAACTTGAATGAACTTGGTAATAACTTGCCATTTAGAAAGTCTATTATGTGTAAGATGAGACAAATCTGGTTCAGGATATGAAGTAATGGAATGTCCAATTAAAAAATGGCCCGACGTTAAGGCTTCAAAGTCATTTGCATCTGTTGATAATGGTAAAATTGGACGAGAATTGAGAATACCTTCGATTTGGATGACAACAATCAAAATTTTTCTAATGTTAATTTATAACTGCCGATTATACGCTGAAGATGATATTTAAATGACTTAAAAATACCTGCTTCCCATAAACCACCGAAATTTGGTGGAATTAGTTTCCAATTTATACCTTCAGATGTTAAGAAATCTGCTATGTCAGAATTATATTTAAGGACTAAGCTATGCATTAGTTCTGATTTTGAACCAACCATCTTAGTACCGTTATCTGACATTATGGTATTAC